GCTGTCCTGAAAAAGGTCCTGAATTCCTGGAACATGATGATTAATACCCTAAAATACCATGCATTTTGTTAACAGAAAATCTTCCGATGTGTTGATGTAGCTTTATAGCACACAACTCGTAGACTTCACATATTTACCCCAAGGTCTAGATAAGCTTTTCAGTGAACGGCCGGCATAAAAGTGTGAATTGACTCTGTGATGGCCCGTAGACTTTGATTTCCAATGCAAGGGAGTTGCAATTTGAGTGCAATGAACAACCCGTACTTTTGTTTCGTTTTCGTGGACCAACAACCACGTTCTCAAAATAACAACATACAATTCCATTCAAACTAATTAAAAAAATAATTGTGCAAGAGAATCAGTTACCCGTCATATACCCAACACTCTCAACATGTTTCCATCATCATCTCCACATGAACAGTAGCCACAGGATTCTTTGCCCTTTTATTGATCTAAATTGTGCCGAGATGGCTGTAAAAGCATTAACGATCAAGTACAGCAGCTCTCAAGGGAGATCAGACAACCGTACCTGTTGACGTCAGCGAGATGGTAGTCGTTGACGAAGTAGGTGACCAGGGGCGTGGTGTTGTTCAGGCACTGCACCGTGGAGTTCATGTAGCAAGTGTTGCCCAGATTTCTCAAACCTGTCAGTGCTGGGCCCTGAGAGGGGAAAATAACATCACAGATTGCTACATTTTTTCATTGGACTGTGAGTAAAGGGAAGCCTGCCAACATAGCAACTCTCATTTAGAGTGCGAAAAGCTCAAGATAAGACACAGCAATACTTCTTCAATATTTCCACAAAGTTTCCACTACCACCACTAGGGTTCAAGTAAAGCAAAGACCAGGTTCATTTATATGTTAAAACACCGCATAAAGACCTGTAGCGAGCCACATTATACAAGTGCATATGACATAGTCCTAACTGTACACATAAACATAGCACAAGCCTAGTCCTAACTGTACACATAAACATAGCACAAGCCTAAACTATACACATACGTACCACATTCCCATAGACAGGGTTCAAGTCCGGCGCCTTCTTCTGATACACAATCTGTTTGCTCAACCCTTGTGAGTTACTGAAAGAGAAATGTTTTACATAATATATTATCGACATTTACAATTTAAAGCGTGGGTGGTTGGCGGGTGCTCTGGTATGGTTTGCTCCTTCTTTCCTATCAAACATCTTTCGTCTTTATCTCCCCTCCTTCTTTTTTGAGTTTGTTACTCTCTTGTAACACCTCTAATCTTCGGCACTTATATGACCTTATTGTGTTGCAAGTGCCGTAAAACTCTTACGAAAAAACAAAAACAATTTAAAGCAGTGGTGTCAAACTCAAGTTACACTTAAGGCTGCCGGCTGAACTGGATAAACACTCACTGACCAGTAGAAAAACTAATCCCTTTTTAAACAATAATATGAATTAAAACAGACAAAAGTTAAAATAATAACAAACAAATCAAGGCATTCCAATTTTTGCTCTAATGCCAATTGACCACAGCTGGATGTCTGGTGTCCTTTCTTGCCATTACATTCATGTACAAATGATACACATACAAAGATGCACGATTCGATCACACAAGCACACCCAAACAACAGGTCTGTGGGTATGAACTCTCTCTATAGTTCTCACCTGATGCTTGGCTTACTTCCCCTGTCCACTCCCGGCAGAGCCCGTCTGGCCTTCTCCTCGTCTGCTAATTCCTTCATGATGTTGGGCGAGGAGTGCGAGCGGGAGAGACCCCGTGAGCTGGACACACTGGGCTCATCTTTGAGCTGTGTCGTGTACACGCTTGCACCTGACACACACAGAGAACCGACACACAACAAACTCATATCATTCTTTGCTTTCATTTATTTTTAGTAGAGGTTTTACAGCGCTCGCAACTGCATAAGGTCATATGAGCGCCAGAAGATTAGAGGTGTTACAAGAGAGTAACAAACATAAAAAAGAAATAGGGGAGATAAGGACGATAGATGTTTGAAAGGAAAGAAGAAGCAAACCACACCAGAGCACCCACCAACCACCCAATTGCTTTCTTTGTGGAGTAAGATCAGTAGGTTGGTAGGCATTTTATTCAGTATTTAAGACTATTGGCCCACATCACACGAAACACACACATTTTACAGAGGAGACTACTGTGAAGCAGCATAAATTATAAAAGAGAGTGTTGAATAAAGAGAATAACTGACACATTAACAGTCAGTCAGTGTTGGGAAAAGCCAGACAGACTCACAGAAAAAAAAGGGAAAGTAAAGACGTTGGAACTACCAATGGTACCCTCTGACCACACATGCAATTTGTGTGACTTTCAAAATAGTAAAACAAATTGCTTTGGCTCAAAGTACATAAAAATCACACTTTAATCTTCATGGAGATGCTGAATTTCACGAAAGTCAGTACTGTGTACTTTTTAAGTACCATTCTTCATCCCAAAGCCATCTCAATAGTTGTTTTTCTACGAAATGTATATATTATGAGCTTAGATTTCATCCACTATGTCATTCAGTATTTCAGTATTCATCCTCGAGGTAAACACACTTATCTTTTACATTAGCCACCTGCTCTACAACAATTCTATCAATCTAATTTTTTTCTACTTTACACAATTTGGAAATAAATGGTCAAAATATGCCAAACATTACTTAGCCAGAATTGGTCTCACTGACCAGAGGAGAAGCCACAAGTCATCTTAACCTAATTTCTTCTTTTTCACAAAAGAAATATTATCCGATTCAGATGCATCGGTCATCGTCAGACATTGACATCATCATCACTGCCCTTTCTCACCCTGGATCATTGACAGACATACTATTATCATTTTTAACACAAGGGACACATACAGACCTTTCATATCAGCAGGCATTGATGGGGGAGTCCACTGTGTGAGTCCTTTGTTGTGATCGATGTAGAAATATCTGTTGGTGGAAAAGTCCAGACGTTTCTCCCAGCCTTTGGGCAAGTACGTGGAGGGAACAGACTTGGACTGGCCGTTTGTAGCACCTAAAACACAATTTGTTGTTTGTTGGAGCATTTTTACTCTATACAGCGACAAAGCACAGCTGATTAAAACCTGTAAATTCTTTGCCATATCGACAGACCGAAAGGCTAGAATCCAAATGGCCGCTGGATCGGAAAAGTAAAGTAAAGTTTGAGTACTTAAAAAATTAGTTTTAATACAAGTTTTACTGCACTTGTAACACGAAAAGGTCATATAAGTGTCAAAGACGAAATATTTTACTAGAGAGTAACGTACAAATAAAAGGAGGAGGAGAGATATAAGGATGATGGATGTCTGATAAGAAAGAAGGAGAAAACCACACCAGAGTACCTGCCTACCACCCAATTTGTTTGAGTAAAGAGATGCACATTGACATTTTAATGGTTGTTTAGTGCAAAGAAAGCGAGACAAGCAGAAACAATATAGGGAAAGAAAAGAAGAATGACGTATCCTTTGTGCCCTCCTGCCACCAACAAAATTGCAAACAGTCAAAATTGTAGGATGGACGGCAAGAAAGACAAACATTTTAAGTAAAGACAGTTGAATGAACTACAACAGCAACAATTACAACATAGCACAAGACAAATAGAGAGGATTCAGCACAACAGAGAGTTCTTTAACTATCGTTATGGTAAACAAGACCTCAGCAGCCTCACCTAAGTCATCTCAACATTGTGAAAACACAGCATAGATGCTTCATGACAGACTTACATTTCCCAACACTCATAAAACACCCTCCATTGTTTGCTTCAACACCCAATACACCAAAAGCTGAGAAGGTCTTAATCCCCCCCCCCCCCTTCATTACATTTACCTTTGTTCAATGCCAATGACTAGTTATATATCCCCTTATCCCCCCCAAAAAAACAAAAACAAAACAACAACAAAAAAACCCAAAACAAAACAAAGCAGCTCACTGAACACCCCCCCCCCCCCCCCCAAATCCATTTCACTAATATACTTAGACTATCCTTGTTCAATCCTACTGCTTTCCTTTCTCTATTGTTTCTGACTGTCTCTGTCTTACTCTTTCCGTGCACTTAAACACTCTTATCCTGTCAATTTACTTTTTTAAACTCAAAAACAACAAAATATCCTCATACCTGCAATCTGACCAGCAATCTTTGCCTTTTCGTCCCTCTGCAATTCTTCTTTCTTCTTTCTCTCCTCTTCCCTCTGCCTGTCCTCCTGCTCCTTGCGCTTCCTCTCTCGCTCCCTGGCCCTCTCTTCAATCTCTCGTTTCTCCCTGGCCTCTCTCTCTTTCCTCTGCCTCTCTTGCTCTCTCTGCCTTCTCTCTGCAGCCTCTCTCTCAACCTCCTGCCTCGCGACCTCCTCCGCCTCTTTCTGCCTCCTCAACTTTTCTTGTATTGCGTCTTCCGCTTTCTTCTGCTCTTCCTCTACTCTCAACCTCTCCAGGCGTTTCGCTTCCACCTCATCCAGAATCCTCTTCTTTTCCTCTTCCTTTTCCTCCATCTCTCTCTCCCTCTCAAGCTGTTCCGTTTGTAACTTTGCCTCCCTCGTGGCTGCCAACTGCTTTCTCTGCTCTTCCTAGATGGGAGAGTGAAGAGATGTTTTCATTCCAGTCAAACAGACATCAAAACGGAATACCACAAAGAAGTAACTGTTCTCAGAGAAGAATTTGAGGACATCAAATGTAATACCACAAAGAAAACTGTTCTCATTTCACTTGAACAAACATCAAAATGGAATACCACAAAGAATTAACTCTTCTCATGGATGAATTTGAGACATCACAACCCCTCTTGGAAATATAGTCGAACTAGCTCTTACAGTCACCTGTACTAAACAATCACCTGAACAAATGACCACTTCTTATTTCCCCCAAAGCACTTTTTAAAACATTAAAATGATATTTTTAAAACATCCACCTGTCTAAGACAGCCACATTTCTTCTCGGCAATGGGTGGCGTTCTTCCACAATTTCAACTCTATTGTTAATGTAGAGACTTATACTAGGGTAATTTTGAGGCAAGAAAATCCTACATGTACAACACATCGTAAAATATATTCAAACCAGCAGCTGGCTAAATAGTATGAGAGACTCTAAACCTAGTTTGTGAGGGGGAGGGGTGAGGGGGAGGGGGGGTGGGGGTGGCCCTTGATAAAAAAGAGTAACCACATAAAAATATGATGTTTCCTTGATACCATTGGCAAAAAGAAAATAGGCAGAAACATCCCGTCTCCTCGTTTCTGTAGCAGCATCTCTACAACAGTTTAAAACATCAAGAAAAAAGATGTTATAAAAGGAAAGCTTGTCCATTTTTTTCATGCGAATATCTTACAATTAACCTATCCATATTTTATTCATTACGATGGATACTGCGAAGCGGCCAGCTGCTACATCACAGATGCCAGTCACAAAACAGAGAAAAACATGAAGACAGAATTTTGAACACCAGCCATACCTCCTGCTGCATTCTCTCTTCTTCCTTCTGTTGCTCGTTCTTCTTGCGTTCTTCTCGCAGCTTTTCCACTTCTCTCATTCTTTGCCTCTTTTCTTCCTCTTCCTGCCTGGCTGCTTCCAGAGCCTGCGTCCTGAGAGAGAAAACAAACAACCTTATACCTAGTGAACATTGCCAGATTGATACAGTCGAGGGTTGCCAGGTTTTCCTTCATGGAGGGGAAATCAAAAGCTACCTTTTTAGCACAATTTGATCAAATCTTCTGATATAAAAAATGTTTGTTTTTCTAAGATTTAATACATCAGATGAAAACAGCCAATCCTCAGGTAACTACACACAGAAGGCTCACATGTTTTGTTTGCATGCAGAATGCCACAGGCGTTGAAGACCTTTGAGCAAAATTCAATCAAGCAAAGCAGAGGCTAGTTGGAGCTGTCATTAACCAACACGCCCTCAAATTGTTAAAAAACAGGAGACCCGAGTTCCATTCCAGAATGGGGAGAATTTTTAAGGTGCGCCTCAGTATTTTTGCCGGAATGTTGTATTCCCCTCAGCCCTAGTTCACCCTGACAGGTAAGAGAGAAGCCTGTCTCTTCAAAGATCAACTTTGTGTTGATGTGGGCATAAAATGCCAACATTAAAAAAAAAACCTTTAACATCTAAGTAAGCTACTTTTGGCCTATCTCTGCCTCTTTTGCCTCAGTGACACAACATGCTAACAGAGACTAAAATACAATACTATATATATATTCATATTGTCAGTATCATTCAACAATCGCCCAAATCGGTTTCTGAGGATTTCCAGATCAAGCCCTCATTCGAATAAAGACATCAAAAGGCATCTTACAATAAAGTTTTGTTTCATTTTCTAATTTCCTTTCAAGCTTTTGATTGAAAAATAATAATTGCCCAAGTCATGATTCTGATTTAGGCACCCTCTTTTTCTTCCATTCTTTAATAACTAATGACTAGGGTACTGGTGGAAACACATTGATGATGTGAGTTATGACTGCACTTGAACCTAAGCCTCACACGTACCTCGTGACCTCCTCCTCAGCCAATCGCTGCTGGTCTTCCTCTTGTCGTCGTTTCTCCACGTCGATTTCCTCTGTCAGTTTCCTCTTCATCCTCATCAAATCGGCCACATCTTTTTGCTCCTTTTTCCTCATCTCCTCAAGGTTTTTCAGTTTCTGTTCTGCTTCCCTCAGCCTCTGGTCATCCTCCCTCAATGTCTTATCTTTCTGTTGTTGGAAATCTCGGAGCTCTGTCTCCTTCTTCCCCCTCTGTAGCATGCTCTCTTTCAAATCCACGTCCAGATTAGAACTCTTGAGGTCATTTCTAGAGAGGTCGTTATTTAATATATTGATATTCTTATTGTTGACTTTCATGTCTGAGTTTTTCTCGTAGAGCACACGAGGGTAAAGTCCTGAACTCAGGGAGGATGAGGTATTGGCTTTGCTGCTTTGACTAGAATTATTCAGTTCTCCACCGCTGGTAAACTCAGAACTTGAGGAAGGAGACAGTGTACCTTGTCTCGGCAAGGCAGTGGTGTTGTTTAATGCCAGCTCCCCAGAACGACTTGGCTTTAGTGTGCGGTCAAACTTTGGAGCAGCCGGCTGAGCGGAGGACGGGGGATGAGTTTCATTGGCCAGAGGTGCTCCGTTGTCGATGTGAGTTGACTGATCGGTGGGCATGCTGTCGGGCTGTAATTTCCCTTTGGAGGGAACAATTTTTTGAAGATTCTCATCCAGTTCTGGATAGTCAAAGTCCACTGAAATGAACAAAAAAACCCTCATCACTTTAATTCTTTTTTTTTTTTTTTAAAGAAAAGAAAAGCCCATCAACACAACCAACACAACAAGTTTCATTAAGTTTATTTGCTTGAGTAAAAAAAAAAGCAAATTGATGCAATAAAGGTCACTAAGTTATTTGTTTTGAGTAAAGAGAAGCACATTTGCACAATAACAGCCATTTGGGGGAAAACGTTGATTTTTTCAGGCATTTGAGCAGAGGAATGGGTGGCAAACTGTGATCGCAAAGAAGAAAAAGAAGAAGAAGAAAAAGAAGAAGATGAAGAAGTATAAGAAGAAGAGAAAGAAAGAGGAGGCAGAGAAGGAGAAGAAGACGGAGATGGAGAAAAAGAAAACTTAAAAGGTAATAACCTCCCCCCTTCTGAAACAAAATTTAAAAGATTGTTGAGCAAAACATTTCCTCTTACGTGTTGCCGTCGGTGACGGGTTTTTTTCTCTGTGGAGGTCACTGGGTTTGACCACATGGGCATTGGTGGTCATTGTAGGGTAAAACAGCAGCCATTGCTCGTAGCCACCCTCCAAAACCAGGGGCTCCGACTTGATGATGGTGCTTGTGTCAAACTGAGAATGAAACAGGAAACATTGGTCGGATAAAAAATACAGCATCAGTAACAGAAGCCACTCCTTTCACCTGGCTGTGAGAAGCTACACTAATGCTATAGCCACAAAAGAAAAGTTGATACTTGTTTACAACAGAACACTTTGTTAGTAGTCTATGAAAGAAAATTGTTCAAGTTCTGTTGAAAATAAAAAAGTGAATTGTTGCTTACATAAAAAAAACAAAAAAAAACCCAACCCAACTTTGTTAATGGTTTCAGAAAAACAACTTTGTTATAATAAGATACAATAGAAAACTTCGTTATTTATATATAAAAGTGAACATTGTTGTTGAAAATTGGTACCTATTGGTCAACAGTGGGAGGGGCCTACGCAACATGATCTGTTGGAGGGACTACCTAACAACAATGACAACTGATTGGATTATGACGGCTCGCCCACAACGCCAGGGGCCAGTGTACAATTTATGACAAAACGTAATGGAGTCACTAAGGTGGCCGTCTAAGACAGGTGTTATTGCTTTGTGTAATAGGGGTTGTGTGTTAAAATATGGTGGCCGTGGCCGCATTGGACAGGTGCCCGTTTTACACAGTTAAATTATATAGAAAAAACGCAAGGGGGGAAATGGAAAGTGGCCGTTTGTACAGGTGGCCGTCTTATAGAGGTGGCCGTCAGGGCAGGTCTGACTGTACAACTTTATTAATAGTGCATAAAGGAAAAACAACATTTCTATATAAAAGAAAACTGCTAATAGTAGACCTACACCAACAAAAAAATGTTTGTTGTTAATGAAAAAACAAATCTATGCGATTTATACATAGAAAGGTCTAGAAATAAAACTTAATTTACAAATACAGAGAACTTTGTTAGTCACTACAAAACATTGTGACTTACCTTAAAGAGTGCGTCTTTGAGAGTTTTCAGCGGCGTGCCAACAGTCACCGAGTTGAGCGTTGACTTCCAGTCAAACAGGATGATGTGATCCGCGTGTTTCCGCTTCATCCACACCTCCTTCGACTCGCTCGGGAGATTTCCCTGCATACGGTTTACAGTGGACCTGAAACACGATCATCAATACCACTTTGTTCTGGCACTTTGAAAGTTTAGGTACTGAGAAGCACATTGGCACAATAACAGTCATTTCATGTCCTGTTGCCTATCACTATGGCCACTTCTGTCGGTTGGTGCCCCCTCACCTTGCCATGACAGGCCGCCATCAGACCCAGTTTCTACTTTGAAAAATTACTTCATAAAGTTGTAGACTATTGTCAGCTTTCATGATGCTAATGTGCAATGTAGAGGCTCTTTCCTTGTTTCTTGTTGCCTCTACTTAGCCCTGTGATGCAACTGTCATCAGGTCTGTCTACTTAGCCCTGTGATGCAACTGTCATCAGGTCTGTTTTTGTCTTTATTTCTGTTTGCATGACAAAGTTACTTCAGCTTCCTTTTTCTGATCTCAGAGAGCATAAGGCATGGTATTTTAAGTTATTTCAAGACACTTCAATTTGCAGTATTTATTTTTATTTAACGTAAAGCAGTCATCTGTAAAACGATAGTTTGTGCTAGGACCCAAAAAAAATAAATAAAAAAAATAGACAGAAACAAATAGTGCAGGAGAAGTACTTTCCACTGTTTGTCGTGTTAGTGGATAGGTTCTTTGCTGTTGCAAACTCGTAAGTGGGGAGACATTTATTTTTTAGAGTGTCTCTATTTTTCTCGTGAGATGCTGTATCTCAGACGGCCTGAGTTGGCCATGACAAGCATGATCGAAGCAGCATGCCTCCTTGATGATCTATTTACAATGACTTAAGAGTTATATTAGACACAGTTGCATCCGCTCCAAAGGCCACCTGTCAAAGACAATCAAGTGTGTAAACGACTACTTCCCATAACACTGTCCAAGACGTCATCCCATCTAATACAACCACTATTACCCTAAACAACGGGCGGCTGCCTTGGATGATAAGGGCATTGGAGGACTGAGGAGTAAATAAACAAAATTCTTCAGCTTCAAGAGCCGGATCTGAAACAGACATGAGAAGCCATGGTTCATCACATATTTCTTTGCTCAGATTCCCTCCCAAAAAAAAAAATCCAATATTATCCTGGTCTTTTCACATAACCCTGTTCAAGTCCTCTAAGTAAGTAATTCCTTGTCTACCTTTACCTCTTGTTTCCGCTAATTTTCCAAACCGAGCAAAAACAACCTACCCGGGTACAATGATCTCCTCTGGCACGCTGATGCAGTCTGTGTGTGAGATGTGAGACTGAGCAAAGTCTGAAGCAGGTCGGACATCCATTAGGATCAGCTGAACCTCCGAATCACGTAAAAGTTTACATAAGTCCGTGCACTTGATCAACCCTGGGGTGGGTGCTGGTTCACTTTCTGCAGAAAGACGGTAAAAATGGTTAATAGGCTTAATGTAGGTTTTTGGGAGAGCATACAAGCAGAAAAAAAGAGTGATGAACCATGGTTCCCGATGTCTGTTTAAGAGCTAGCACTCGATGATGATGATGATAAAGATGAAGTTTAACACTTTCCACCCACGCAGCGCGCAGGGCACGCAACACTTATCCCCACGGACCAGGATACAGGTGCGGTACACGCTATATCACTGTTGCCGATCGGCGTCCCGTGGGGAAAAGGGACGGCTTCTTACTGCTGCCGATCGGCGTGCCCTGGGTGCAAAGTATTAATAAAGCACATTGACAAAATATACATCATTTAGTGTGGGGGGAAAAAGCAAAGCAAGGCAGGCAGACAGAAAATAGATACAGCATAGAGGTAGGACCTCCTAGTGGGGTCCTCCATCATCCCATAGACCTCATAATAATATGTGAAGATCATTATATCAAACATCTGTAGGTGAAAGGACATTGCTAACACCACATCCAAACCCTAACACAATGACAAAAGCGGCAGAAATCAAACAGGGTTCAAAACTCACCCGCCGGCTTGCCATTCTCCTTCACTTCGGGTGCTGCTGTGATTTCATTCTTCTTCTCCTCTCCTCCATTCTTCGCGTCTGAGTTAGTGTCCAGCGATGCCAATTTCTTAGCCACAGCTTCGGCTTCTTTAAGATCATACCTAAACGCAAGCAGATGCACAAAATAAATGGCACTGTACGAACATCTATCTATACACAAACAGACATACAAAGTAAAAGCCACTGTACGAATACTTGTACTATATGAAAACAAATTTACAAAGTAATTGCGCCGTCTCAAAAAGGGTTTTAAGTTCATACAAAAATAGAAAACTACCAGAATTTATGTGGGAGGTCACTTGGGTATTAGTAGAAAGTGTGCAATAACTGTCAGGCTGTCTGAAGCTGTTCACAAAAGACATGAGTTCAGTTTTCATGATGGGAGGTTTGTTTATCAAGCATCTCCATCTGTCTCCTGAGAGGCTGCATCTCTTCGAGTCCAGGTTGGTCTTGACAGGAAGGTTCGAATCAGCTCACATCTCAAACGGTCAAAATAGTAAAATTGTGTCCATGTGGTGTACAAAATCAACAATTACAATGAATGATCTGAATGTCTGCTCGAGCAAGACACTATAACCTTAGGTACAAAAACAGGGTGCTCCACAGTGACTGATGGCAATGGCAAGTCAATTTTCTGAATCAGCTGTGTGATCATGTGTTTTATGTAGTGATGAAAAAATACTGTATGTCATGTGCTGTCTCAAATTTCAGAACAGGGTTCAATAAAAGAAGAATTTAATAATCTATTTACAAAACAAGCTTACCTTTCTTTGAGACTGTCAGCGAGCACTTCCGCTCGCTCTATTGCTGTCAACTGATTTTTTTTCCCGATAAGATTATCAAAATAGTCCTGAAAACAAACAAACAAAACACACAAAGTGAAAATCAACATAAAATAAAATTGCATTGTTTATGCGATTTTCAAATCTGCAAGGCATTTGAGGTTTTAGTCAATGGTGGCATCTAAATCATTTGGTTTTGATTTGAGCAAAAAGAAGCACGTTAATACGATGACGACCACCCTGAGCAAGGAAATAGCAAAAAAGTCAGAACAACAGGTGGTAAGAAAAGAACTATGAGGTCCTGAAAGTGGCATCCTCTAACCGCATCCATATATCTAAATCATTCCATTCAGACTTTTAAAATATGTGAGGTGTGCTGACAAAATGAGTTACTTCTCGCTGTCCAAGAATGGAGATATCGGCCGAAAATCGACAATGAGGTCAGATTTATAGATTTCTAATTGATACCATTTTGTTCAAGTCTACCATGTCTTTTATTCTTTCACACTTACAAATTGTACAAACTTCACCTATGAAGTTGATGTATCAATTTCCACAAGGCTAAAATCGGAGAAGTAACTCATTTTGTCAGCACACCTCACATATATGTCTTATAAGAAAAGAAATAGTCCAACAAGTGGAATAGTGGCATCCTCGAACCACATCCATATCTAAATCAATTTGTTCACACTTCTAATAAGTCTTATAGCCCTATTCTATATTTTTCTGTGAAGCCACCATCACTACAGGGGAAAGAGAGTGTGAGAACTTCAAGCGAAAGGGTACATAATTAAACTATCTTCTTACAGTTACAAAAGCAAGTACTTGGATAGCCCTGTGCTTTATACTCCATGTCTAAAAAAGCCTTGGGGTATAAGACAGATACATGCATGAAGAGCTGTAAGAAAAGAAGGATCAGTAGAAAGTACCTCA